GAAGCCAGAGCAGCACAGCCGCCCCGGCCCCCCTACGCGCGCTGGCCAGAACCGATACCACAGAACCGGCATCGGAAAAAGCATCGCCCAGGAACGGGCATCGAATTGAAGGCACAGACACCGAAAATCCCCGAACAACACCCAGCCCCACCCCGAAGTGCATCCAGTCCCGGGCCCCAGGGATCCAAGGCCCCAGGGGCGCCCGACCCCCAGACAGGAGCCCCAGCAAAGCCCCGGCCGGCCGGGGCCAGCGGAGAGGCCGCCAGGAATGAGCCAGCAGCCCCCCGGGCATCCACCCCCAGACCCCAAGCTCCACCAGTGCACCGGTGAGCCCCGACGCCAGCCAGCGGAGGGAGAGCAGGACGGGGGGAATGGGCTCCGCACTTAGCCGAGACTTGATGTATTTGGGAGAGCGTGCAGGTGAGACCCCAACCTGGGAGAGAAAAAAGAAACACTCACACTCTCAATCATGCCTTCCCTCCCTAGTGCGCCCACTCGCACCACAGAAAAAAAAAAGAAAGAAAGAAAGAAAGAAATAATAAAAACCGGACCACCCCCAGCAAGAGAACTTTAGTATGTTTTAAAACCTTTGGTACTAGTTATATCTGTGATATAGAAATTTTTCTTACTTAGTTCTTGCTCTTATTTCAAAGGCAATAATAGCATGAGTTCAGACTAAATCTTTAAGCCTGACCTATATAGTCTATTACAGGTTAACTTAATAGTTATGGTCACTTCCTGTCAGCCTCCAGAGTACCCTTGTATACAGGTTAAATTAATAGTTATGTTCACTTCCTGTCAGCCTCCAGAGTACCGTTGTATACAGGTGAGATCAGAGCAATCCAAAGCACTTTAGAGCCCCAAAAGATCATGTTGGGAACCTGATGAGTTTTACAGCTTCTGTATATTTTATGCCATGAACGATGTGGTACCTTTACTTCCTGTTCCTATTATGAGATCTATCATAGATGTTATCAATGTAGATCCTGCTTTAAATGCTAACAGACATAATGCTACGGATTCAAGAAAAACGTTTCTGTTTTGGCAGCCTAATAAAAACAGAAAATAAAAAAAAGAATAATTAGTTAATAAAATCTGTGTGTGCAGCGGCCAATAAAAAGAGTAAAGCTCTGACTTCAGTAATATAAACAAGAGGGTGAAACAAGACGTTTAATGCAGAATTAATTAGCTAATCAGGTTATAATTTTCCTGTTTTAGTTCAGTTAGGATGTTTAAAAATATCTGTTTGCTAATGAAAAACAAATAAAAGGAAATTGATATTTATGCCCTGTTCTAAATGAAAAGGCTTAATAATGTCCAACCTTTTTGACCTTACTTCAAGGTTTTGTAGCTTGCTCTGTATTAGGATGCCGATCTTATAAAATGTTTGAGTAATTTCATTATTTTAGGACAACTTGTTAACGGCTGTCATTCAGCCACAACATGCACATGTATTTGAGCGAGAAGGATCTTACAGTACAGTCTAGGGGAAAAAAATCTTAAAGATTTTTTGTGAGTGTGTGTTTTAGATCATCACATTAAAAAACTGGTGTTGACATACATTGCTGAATACCCACCCACAGTCTAGAGCTGGAGGAGTAGGAATAAAGGTGAATTTCCTAATTTGCTGATACTAAAGATCAGAGGAAGGAAACTTTGGTGAGCAGACAATATTATTTTATACCTCTTCTAGTCTAGATCTTCTAGTTGATTACTTTGCAGATCTCTCAGACAGATGTAAATACTTTTGTCTTATGCCTGATTGTTCTTTTTTAAAAGGCCAAACAGATGGAATTTTTTCTTGGTTAACCAGAGCTGTGGGAATCCATCCATAGGAAAGGAAAATCTCACTTAGAACCTGCTTGCTACCGTCTTATTTTGTAACATAATACTGGTAAAAAATGTGGCAAAGGTAATCTTTACCAAACTGTCAGAGACAGTTCTCCTGCAATCTCCTGCAGTTCAAACCGAGCATCAGTATGGGGAAGAAAGGTGATTTAAGTGACTTTGAACGTGGCATGATTGCTGGTGCCAGAAGGGCTTGTCTGAGTATTTCAGAAACTGCTGATCTACTGGGATTTTCACGCACAACCATCTCTAGGGTTTACAGAGAATGGTCCGAAAAAGAAAAAACATCCAGTGAGCGGCAGTTCTGTGGGCGGAAATGCCTTGTTGATGCCAAAGGTCAGAGGAGAATGGCCAGACTGGTTCGAGCTGATAGAAGGGCAACAGTGACTCAAATAACCACCCGTTACAACCAAGGTGGGCAGAAGAGCATCTCTGAACGCACAGTATGTCGAACTTTGAGGCAGATAGGCTACAGCAGCAGAAGACCACACCGGGTGCCACTCCTTTCAGCTAAGAAACAGGAAACTGAGGCTACAATTTGCACAAGCTCATCGAAATTGGACAATAGCAGATTGGGAAAACGTTGCCTGGTCTGATGAGTCTCGATTTCTGCTGCGACATTCGGATGGTAGGGTCAGAATTTGGCGTCTACAACATGAAAGCATGGATCCATCCTGCCTTGTATCAACGGTTCAGGCTGGTGGTGGTGGTGTCATGGTGTGGGGAATATTTTCTTGGCACTCTTTGGGCCCCTTGGTACCAATTGAGCATCGTTGCAACGCCACAGCCTACCTGAGTATTGTTGCTGACCATGTCCATCCCTTTATGACCACAATGTACCCAACTTCTGATGGCTACTTTCAGCAGGATAATGCGCCATGTCATAAAGCTGGAATCATCTCAGACTGGTTTCTTGAACATGACAATGAGTTCACTGTACTCAAATGGCCTCCACAGTCACCAGATCTCAATCCAATAGAGCATCTTTGGGATGTGGTGGAACGGGAGATTCGCATCATGGATGTGCAGCCGACAAATCTGCGGCAACTGTGTGATGCCATCATATCAATATTGACCAAACTCCCTGAGGAATGCTTCCAGCACCTTGTTGAATCTATGCTACAAAGAATTGAGGCAGTTCTGAAGGCAAAAGGGGGTCCAACCCGTTACTAGCATGGGGTACCTATTAAAGTGGCCGGTGAGTGTAGGTCAGAAAGGCTTTATACCCTAAACATATGGTTCTGAAAACATTAGTAGGCTATTTTACACACCACAGGCAGTATAAGACTCAAGTGTTCTGTTCCGCAGATTTCTATCGACCATAAAATACACAGTTATACAAATATCACTTTTTCAAGATAATTTCCCCGAAAAACTGGTGCCATGTGGCGTAAAAGACTTACATTTTTTCAAAGGCTCGATCCTAGATTTATTTGACCAATTCTTTTAAGAACATGAAGATAATTATTTACGCCACTGAATCTCTTATCTGGATTAAGGCCAGCAGCTGTTTTTAAACCAACCCCGAAAAGTTCCTCTTGTGGAATTGTGATGGACTGAGCAGTAAGGACAGTCAGCTGTGTGTCAAAAAACAGGGTTCTTTTATTTAATCCAAAATATATACACATATAACATGTACAAAAATTGATCCAGAAATCAGGTCAAATGAACCAAAACTACTCAAAATATTTATAACAGAACAAGACTAACTCGAACAAACTGATACGACATAGGGGAACTTACAGTAAATACTGACTGACCAGACTACAAAAGAAACACATGGGGCCAAATATACAAAAACCTAACTAAACCAAATAAAGCAAAACCCCATTTCCCCCACATTGCATTAATATGGTACGGTCCAAATGAATTACAAATCTTGGAGCACAGTGTAATGGTGAATAAATTCCAAACAGTGAGATTGCTCTGTAAATAAAACCCTGTATGAAGAACTAAATTGCATAAATTGTGTTTGTTTAATTGCTATGACCTATGACAATTTAGGAAATATGAATGAAATAATGCAGTAAAAGAAACAAACTTTTTTGTGTTCTTTGGCCCCTTTTAGCGTTTTTTTTTGGTACATGCCCACAGCAAAATTAGCAAATATTGTTTATCTCAGGCAACTGATGAAGAAAAACAAAAAATATTCTTTAGATCGCTCAGAAAGGATTATAAAATAAAAGATGTGATCTCGTTAAGCTATTGATTATACTGTTTTCTTCTAGCTTACATGGGTTTAGCTGGTTATCTACCATCAAGCTGTGGTTTTTGTATTTTGCAGACCCTTGCACTGTTTTTTATATTCACAATGGTGGGATAACCAACTTATTAACTAGTATTAGTTATGATGAGGTTAGTATTAGAAATAAACAGGTAAGGGTTTGGGTTAGAGTAGATGTCAGGGTTAAGCATAAACGCAGTAACTAAATGACCGTCAATGTAAATAACTGCTATGGCTAGAAATACATGCTTGCTGGGGTTGGTGTATCTAATTGCAAATGATCTAAACACAGGAGAGAAAATATCTTGAAAAAACAATTGCACTCCTTTTCTTTGTCCAAATAAGATTTTTTGGTTCGCTGCGTATATCTCTCTTTTTTGTAGTAATAAATGACATTTATGTGTGGAGCTAATAAAGTTTCATCTGATTTAATTTACCAGTTAGTAACTAACAAGTTCAGACTCATTGATCACAAAAGGTAAACTAAAAAAATCTCTCTGCTTTTAAACGTGACATTTAGCTGCTTAATCTTTCTACTCTATCCGCCTCTGTGGCCACAGAGCCTCTCATTGTGGCGGTCCGTGGTTGAAGGCAGCATAGACATCAGAATTGGTTTCCTCCTAATGTGCTACATTCCTGTTTCTCTCCTGTATCGTTGGACCATGAAGTTGCTCATTATCTCCAAATGTTGGCGCTCTATAGGTTGTCCTGGTAGTTTTCTCTCACTGGCTGTCGAAAGATGGCGGCAGGTTGGAGTCTCCTCTTGGTGAATACCTGACCCTTGTGGCAATTTGAAGGTCTTGCTCAGCCAGAGGGATTTTATTGTACTGTAGGAAGTAAAAAAGAAAAATGTTTAGACATGCTAAGGTGTTAAAAGCATAAATACTGGTTCAGTACATTATTGTCCTAAAAGTTCAATAATGTTTACCTTATTTTCTGTTTGCTTCTCTTTCCTTGATTTCCCTGCGAATTAAGCAGTTTGTTAGATAGCTCTGGTGCATGATTTTTCAACAAAGGTTAAAAGAAGTTGCTGAAAAATCTCACCTTTGCATCCCTGCATCCATATCACAGATATGATAATCACTATGATGAGAAAGGAACCAATCCCAGCAGCAGAGCACACATACATCCAAAAAATACTGTTTGGTTCAGTTTTGGGATGTTCATCTAAGGGATAAAATAGAACATAAAACTATTGTATTATTACTATTTAGGTTCAAAACAGATTTTCTGCATCAGCTTACCATCGATACCAATGCTGATAACTTCACTCCTTCTCCTTTTTTGCTGAACCCATCAGGCAAATGATTCAAACCCTTTTTAACAAAGAAAAATTTATAGTAATTCACTATCAAATGATTCATAGTCTACTGGGAGGACATGAAGATACGTGAATACAGTGTTCCAGCAACCATTTCACTGAAAGTAAATTTGGTAGGGCTGTAACTAACAATCATTTTAGTAATCTGTTACTATGGCAGGTAATTTTTTTTTTTTTTTCAGGTTTTTCAGGTTCATTTCAGGAGAAAAAAAAATGTAATACCAACATTTTAGGGAACACAATCATACAATTATGAACTGTCCTTACTTGTTTCGGTAGTTATTGTTATATGTGTCTTGGTTGTGGCCTCCATTTCCTCTGTAATACAGTATATATATAAAAAAAACTTTTATTATTACAATGAAATAGAGAAGCACAAATGCATAACATTGTAAGCCTGCTTTGATCAAATATTACTTCTAGTGTGATTAGACATTACACTTTGGTTTGTTCATCTGTGAAATAATATAGAACATAATAAAAATAAATCAATTAAATTATATATTCAGCTTAAAAATATATTTTTTGTATACTTTAACCGTTAATAGAAATGCTGATCTCTGCATCCCTTTTCTCTTTACAAAATATTTTTTTTTCATTTTGAAATCAAAAGTCAAACATGAAATTACCAAAACCACAACATTTGGTACCAACTATATATTGCTTTATACCCATCCGGCAAATGATTCATACCCAGTTATGTTAATATAAGGAGAAAACTGTAAAACCACTCACCAATAACCGTGATATGGATGACATGACTAAGACTGCCTTCACTTTTACATCCATATCTTCCAGTGTCAATTTTGAGGATCTTTTGAAAAATAAGGAATGAAACTCCTTCCAGAGGCTTGATCTCCTCCCATCCTATTCTAATGCGATTGTTGCTGTTGATGATGAGACGGTCACGTTCGCCCTCTATTTTATACCAGGTGACTCTTGGTGGTGGATTGTTGCAGAATAGAACTGGACAGTCAATCCTGAATTTCTGTCCAGAAACCACTTCATGATTTGTGTTTCTCCGCACTAGTAGTTCTGTTGTACAGTCCTCATCTGCAGCAGGAGACAACCAGACATATGAGATTACACACCTGAATGTGTCTGTTACTGAATTATTAACACTTTATAAGCTAAATATTAACAATTAGACCAAAATCTTAGGACACACCCTCCAACGGAACGCTGTATAATTCACATTCAAATAATCTAACAGAATGTTTGAGATATAAAGTTGGATGGGTGAAGATTTTCCTCCACACATAGAATTAAAGCTAGGTTGGCAGAACTGTTTGCATGGATATAGAAATAAAAGGAACAATAAGGAATATTTATTGTAGAAATTAGGTTTAGAAAGAGGTTTAAAATTGTTTATGCTGAGAGAAGCAACTATTAACACAGAAAATTTCTTTGTGAAGATGATTATGGAGAGAAAATAAAAAGTACGGAAGCCCAGTAGCTTTAACCTTAAACAATTAGCTAAAGGACATAGCAGAATCAACAATGATGAACAGGCAGCCTTAATGCTGCAGGACTTGCTTGGCCTAAATGATTGTTTGGTATTAAAAGATCTCTGAAAGATACCTGAAAAATAACTGAGATGATATGCTGTAACCAGCGCATGTTGTCTTTTCTTGGGTGTTTTTTTCTTTTTTGCGTATACTGTATAGAATCAAACTGTATATAATAAAACAGACACAGCAAACTAAATATTTATACAAATAGCTAACTGGGTTGTTGTTTGCAACAATAAATGTTACTAATCTGGCTATTTGGGACAGAGTAGAAATGCTTTTAACCTCTTCATGTCTTTTAGAATAAAAATAAAATAATTGATAATAATAAAAAATTACACAATAATATTATTTCTTAATAAGAATAACATTCTTTGCAGGTTTAGTCATAAGTGTTTTACCTACTCAAAGGACTGATTTCAAACAAAAGACCCGCTAACAGTCACTTTTTAGACACCACAGTATTGTATACGGTATTACCACATCAGCTCCATTGCTCACCAGAGATGGAAAGTAACGAAGCACAAATACTTCATTACTGTACTTAAGTAGATTTTTCTGATATTTTTACTTTACTACTTATTTTTATGGCGACTTTTTACTTCTACTCCTTACATTTTTACACAAATATCTGTACTTTCTACTCCTTACATTTTTAAAAACTGGCTCGTTACTTTAGTTTTGAATCATTTCAATGGAGTTACCGTTATTATTTTTCACATCATCAATAGTAAAATTCAGTCTAATTGGATGGGAATCTACGTTGCATTTGACGCACCACTACAAGATGAATCGACAGATTCGGCGGTATTCATTCGCGGCAAATCATTGCAGCTTGGTGGCGGTGGCGTTAGCATAGTAGTATGGACGACGATGATTGAAAATGAACACAACGGAAATCTAGTCCTATTGGCAGACATCCATTTAAAATGTAGGCAACGGCATGAAAAAAGTGGTTTCTACTTTTACTTTTATACTTTAAGTCAATTTACAAGCCTGTACTTTGTTACTTTTATTTGAGTAAAGAAGTTTAATCAGTACTTCCACTTTTACCAGAGTATTTTTTAACACAAGTATCTGTACTTTTACTCAAGTATGGAAAGTGAGTACTTTTGCCATCTCTGTTGCTCACTGACAATTTAGAATGAAACACAGCTTTTCTGATTATGAGATTATTCAGTCTCATGGTGAGCCAGTCAAACACTAACATTGTGATACTAGGAAGATACTTTGTTCTACTAAAGTTTAACACTGTGTACCCCTAAAAGCTGATCTTAAAAAATGTATTGCAATTTTAAAAATCCCCCAAACCTGCTTCATTTCCTTGCTTTAAGACCCCCTAATGTGGTCAACACATCACCAAATATGGCTAAATAGGAAATAGAGTGACAAGAGCTTTATGTGTAATATTCCTAAATTAAAAATTTAGAAATATGAAATAAAAATAGAATAATCAGTTGACTTCTACAACATGGAATCAAAGACCTGAAGCCCAGTTTCATGTTTTGTTGTTTAATTTTAGGTTTCATGTCTGCCGAGTTTAGTCTCTGCATGAACTCCGGAAATGGAAAAAAGTTCTGCTCGATTTAGAAAAGCTTTAGAAAGTTTTAAACCCTTTGATATGACTTATATCTGTGCTAAACAAACTGCAGTTTATTTAGTCTTAACTATATATCGTAGGTGTTCAAACAAAAACAAAAAAGGAGTTTCACTAAAACGTGAAAACTGACATGTCCAATCTAATGGTGATTAGTTTAGTATTTATGGTTACTTACTATCAGCATCCAGAGTAACGAGGAGAACAGATGAGATCAGGACAATCAAAAGGACTTTAGAGCTGTTAGAGATCATGATGATTTCCTGATGAACCGTCCACCTCTGTATAGCTTCTGGGTTCTACAGCACAACATATGTGGTAGGTTTACTTCCTGTTTGGTTTCATGGGGTCTTCGGTAAATAGTAGGTCATACTGTGAATGCATTAGACTAGACATACAATAGAAAAATATTTCTGCTTCTGCATTTGCAGATTTTTATACCTGGAAAAAAGACGCAAATATCTTTTGAAAAACATTTCATAGATTTCCAGCTGCCAATGGCGAAAAAATAAAAGAGTTAAAGTTTCTAATGCTCTGACTTTCAGGATGTAAAGAACAGCATGAACAAAGGGGTCGATTGTTCCAGGCAAATGACAGAAGAGGGCCCAAAATTGACACTCTGACCATTTAAAATACAGAAAATATTTTTGATAAATATATTTAATCTAAGAGTACCTAAATATATAAATATATCTGCATTATGCAAGGCAAGGCAAGGCAAATTTATTTGTATAGCACAATTCAGTACAAAGACAATGCAAAGTGCTTTAAATGTTTAAAATTTGTAAAATAAAACAGGATCAAAGCAAGTAGGAAAAAAAATACATAAATAAAATAGTATAAAATAAAAAATGCAGAAACAAAAAAGAAAATTAAAAACAGTTGGACTAAAAAAAAATAAAAAAGTTAAACTAATGATGTTTCATTTAAATGTTTAACTAGAACAGTCGAAGGCAACCCTAAACAAATGTGTTTTTAGTCTTGATTTAAAGGAACTCAGGCTTTCCACACTTTTAGTTACATTTAGGTACATTAGGTATGTGTAATAAGTTGTCTTTAACATTAGAACTCCCCCCACCCCAACATAAAATGGTTTGACCAGGATAACGACCTGCTGCAAAGTTTGTGTCATTACAAAGTAAGAATGCAAAAAGACTGTGTTGTCCCGGGTCGCTAGCAAAGCTGTCAGCTGGTCCATGTATAGAGATGAAAATGCCCTCGTCACATTTCTGCTTTGGCCCCTCAGATAATTAAGTCTACAATCTGCACTGGTGATAGCACTAATTTTAGGCACTGATGATATCACACTGGCATTGAAGCAGAATTATTTGGACAGACAGCTGATTATAGACACAGATCAGCTTTGCTCCGTTCATCAATCTGCAGCATCAGTGAAAACCTGAATGAAATTCTTCCTCATAGTCAGAAAAACCATGTAGGTTGATTTGCTATTCTGCTGAAGCAAAAATGAACACAAGAATTGGAAAAGAAACCCAGTCTAACCACAATCAGGGTGTAGCTGCACATCAAAAACCCAGGTTCACCCAGACTTCCCTAATTTAAAGAGCACCTTGTTACACACCACCATGAGCAACATAGATATATTCAACTTTGAATTATTCATTTGTTTAATTAAAATGTCATATATGTGGATTTTGAAGGCATGAATGAAGTAATTAAATAATAACTTCATTTTAGATGATTTAGTAACATTACAAATTTAACACATACAAATGTTTTGCAAATATATAGAATGTATGTAAGAAGTTCAGCAGATCAGAAGCATCAAAAATCCTCACTGTTCTAGAATATCACTGACATAATTTATTTATTTCTGCAGACTGGTGTAATATTTGCATAGATTTCATCAGACGACCGGTGACATAGATCAGCTGTCCTCCTGCATCTTCCTGCAAAATGGATAAGAAGAATAATCGGTTACTGCCCCCTAAATCATGCTAAGTAGCATTTTGCTGTAAGATCTTCTGCATTAGGGAATTGCAAAGTAAGCATCAAAATGTCTTACCTCTAAGCACTTTCTGGGAAATGATGCAAATAAAAATCCCTATTATTAAAAAAGACCCAATTCCAACAACATAGTACATGTAATTCCAAAATACATCCAAAGCTACCGTGTTCTCTGCAAGATAAAAAGAAAAAAGAAAATTAAATCAGAATCAGAGAAACATGATTGTTTATTTTTTGCTTAAGGTTGTTTACAACGAGAATATAAACCAGATAAGGAGGTAGTAAGAGGTTCAAAACTGAGGTTAAATTTGTTCCAAGTTGAAAAATTTGGTGTTTTTTTTGGTTCAGTATTTTTAAAGTGATGGTTTAATATTTATTATCTAAGTTGGAATATGAATAAATATGTATTTGCTTATAATTTGTAGAAACCAGGCATAAAAACCAATACAATTTGATTGCTAGAGGAACTTTCATGATCTCAGCACTGATGTGTCAGATCCCTCATTCCACACACCTGCTTCGCTTACCTGCTCATCTTATCCACCTGCATTAGTCACTATATAACCAGCCCTCAGACAAGTAATCCGTGCCAGATTATTTCGAGCTTTTGGTGAGACTTAGTCCAGTCTTCTTGTGTTCTGACTCCCTGATCCTGCCTCTCGACCTCTGAGCCTGAATATTCCAGTCTGATCTGTTTGCCTGACCTGTCTTCCGACCCCTGCTGGATCTTTGCCTGCTTGTGTACTAACCAAACTATTTCCCGACCACTGAGCCTGTCTGCCCTCATCCAACCTTTCAACCACACTGCGTACCGTACCTGGAACAATGACCTGACTCCACCCTGGATTCTGCTTTGGCACGTCTCTGACCTCCTGGCTCTGACAACCAACAACGTCATTAACATCGGCTTTGGCTTCAACCTTTGGATCATCCTACCTACCTTCGTCTGCTCGGTTCTAATCTCCTGCCTGTCCTGTATGACCTCTGAGACATCAGTGTCTGGGACTATGTGCGGCGACCTCTGCTCCGCATTGGCAGCCAGCCGGTCACAACGATTCTCTGCCTCTGGACTCACACTGAAGTATAAAACCAGGTTAGTGCCTCACACGTTCAGGATCATTCACTTCTAGAGAGACGTGGAACCTTCTGTCTATCCCCAAAAAGGTTCCTGCCTTAGACGCTAAAGCCGGGTACTCGGCTTCTGTTGTCAATAAATGTTCTGAGAAATCTAAATGTTTGTCCCCTTTGAATACTGGATCCTTGAGTTCTGAGTCAGTCAAGGACTCAGTAAATAGTAAATCAGCACAAGAGCCAATTCAGTACACAGCCATTTTAATGTGTCCCGAGCTGTGAGCCGAGTTAGAATAAAGCCTTGCCGTCTAGAAACAAATCCTCCAAAAAGGTTTTAGAGGTTCATAACCTCCAGAGCTTCATACCTTGGAACTTACTGATCCCTTTTTTAAATGAACAAAGAAAACATGTGTGATAAATTGATTCTATTGATCAATTAAATTAGCTTTTTTATGAACGTTACATCTTTTGTAATAATTGGAATTTCTCATTCATTATCCTCCTCCTTCAGAGTCCGTAGTTCAGAGTGACATCATCTTGTCCCTTTTTGTTCTAAGATGTATACATAAAACTCATAAACCAGTTTACTGTATAATAGCTGCAAACATACGGTGTGCTGTGTTTTCATTTTATACAATCGCAGGGCCTGACAAATTATTTTTACAATCATATTGGATTTGGCTGCACTTCGAAATTAACATCAACTTTCAGAAAGGATTAAAAACAATTTCCCTCATTTAATATCATAAAATAAAAAAAATAATCAGATACTTAAGCCATATCATGCCCAAGTAAAATGGTTTTTAGATTATAGTTAATTATTTGCCATCTACAGTCAGTTTATGAAACACAAATTATGAACACTTACAGCTGAAGAGTTTCCAGAGTGTAAAAATGCTGTTTTTGCAATATATATATATATATATATATATATATATATATATATATATATATACACTATATTGCCAAAAGTATTTGCTCACCTGCCTTGACTCACATATGAGCTTAAGTGACATCCCGTTCCTAATCCATAGGGTTCAATATGACGTCGGTCCACCCTTTGCAGCTAGAACAGCTTCAACTCTTCTGGGACGGCTGTCCACAAGGTTTAGGAGTGTGTTTATGGGAATTTTTGACCATTCTTCCAGAAGCGCATTTGTGAGGTTGCACACTGATGTTGGACGAGAAGGCCTGGCTCTCAGTCTCCGCTCTAATTCATCCCAAAGGTGTTCTATCGGGTTGAGGTCAGGACTCTGTGCAGGCCAGTCAAGTTCATCCACACCAGACTCTGTCATCCATGTCTTTATGGACCTTGCTTTGTGCACTGGTGCACAGTCATGTTGGAAGAGGAAGGGGCCAGCTCCAAACTGTTCCCACAAAGTTGGGAGCATGGAATTGTCCAAAATGTCTTGGTATGCTGAAGCATTCAGAGTTCCTTTCACTGGAACTAAGGGGCCAAGCCCAGCTCCTGAAAAACAACCCCACACCATAATCCCCCCTCCACCAAACTTTACACTTGGCACAATGCAGTCAGACAAGTACCGTTCTCCTGGCAACCGCCAAACCCAGACCCGTCCATCAGATTGCCAGATGGAGAAGCGCGATTCGTCACTCCAGAGAACGCGTCTCCACTGCTCTAGAGTCCAGTGGCGGCGTGCTTTACACCACCGCATCCGACGCTTTGCATTGCACTTGGTGATGTATGGCTTGGATGCAGCTGCTCGACCATGGAAACCCATTCCATGAAGCTCTCTGCGCACTGTTCTTGAGCTAATCTGAAGGCCACATGAAGTTTGGAGGTCTGTAGTGATTGACTCTGCAGAAAGTTGGCGACCTCTTCGCACTATGCGCGTCAGCATCCGCTGACCCCGCTCCGTCAGTTTACGTGGCCTACCACTTCGTGGCTGAGTTGCTGTCGTTCCCAAACACTTCCATTTTCTTATAATACAGCTGACAGTTGACTGTGGAATATTTAGGAGCGAGGAAATTTCACGACTGGATTTGTTGCACAGGTGGCATCCTATCACAGTTCCACGCTGGAATTCACTGAGCTCCTGAGAGCGACCCATTCTTTCACAAATGTTTGTAAAAACAGTCTGCATGCCTAGGTGCTTGAATTTATACACCTGTGGCCATGGAAGTGATTGGAACACCTGATTCCAATAATTTGGATGGGTGAGCAAATACTTTTGGCAATATAGTGTATATATATATA